AAGATACACTTTGATTTTGTGATATTTACAAATGCTACACATTGTTATTTATTTTGGAATCATGAGACAGCAAGATGATGAATAATAAATGCTGGCATTGAAATGACTGAAGTTTCTCCAATTCATATTATTTTTAAGTGACCATTTATAAAGTTTTGAGTATTCTGCTTTACCTACTTCAGTTGTTCAAATGAAAAGGAATGGAAAGATATATATATATATATATATATATATATATATATACACAATATATAATGGTATATATATATATATATACCATTATCAAAGCATAAATTTATTTTTCTTCTAAATTTTCATGAACGTTGTATGTGTGTGCTCTTAGCAGCTTATTATTTCACTTATTTAAGCATTAATTTTTTCTTCCTAATCTCCTGGGGTTATTTTGATTTTAATCTAAATATTACATTTAGAGCATGTAATGTACAAACAACAGTACTTGGCATGTAGTAGGCATATTTGCTCATTGAATGCAGAAATTGCCCCAGTTTTTCATTTTTCAGTGTGGCTTTGTAATCCTTCCCATCAAGAGGTAGAATCTGTCTCCCACTATTTGAGATTTCTTTTGTTCTATAGATTATTTTTCAGAAAGATGCCATTTTTGCATCATTTTTATTGAAAATACTTAAGGCCTAGCATATGTAATTTTCTGTTGCCACCAGCAAACTTTCTGGAACTATCACTTATCACTTATCACTTAATCCCCGTTATTCATCGATTTATTCGAGCGGGTGCCAGTAACGTCTCCATTCATCCCGGTTGCGTGCTAGCGTAGCCCAATGGTATCTGTTCGTTTTAGGAACATGTAGAGCCTCAAACCGATCATTTAGGGTTTTGACGAAGAAGTCTGACCATCTTATAGGTGGGCGTCCACGTGATCTTTTGATGTCTCGTGGAATCCAATCAGTAATGGCTCTAGTCCAGCAGTTGTCTGTAAACCTCATTACATGTCCAGCCCATCTGATTTTTGATGTCTTGGCAAATGAGACAGCGTCCCTGATTCTGGAGCGTTGACGAAGATCAGAACTCCGGATTCTATCTCTCATTTCAGTGAATCGTGATATTCCAAGCATAGTTCTTTCGATTCCTCTTTGAGAGACCCGAATAGTGTTCTCAACCTGTTTTCATAGGGTCCAGGTCTCTGAGGCATATGTTAATGCAGGAAGAATAGTGGAATCAAAGAGATGTGCTCGTAGCTGGAGGTTCTTTGTCCTTTTAGTTATTTCTTCAATGCTCTTGAAGGCATTCCAAGCCGCTCTCTTCCTCCTGCGCAACTCAGGTGCCAGGTCATTCATCATGTTGATTTCTCGACCTAGGTATATATAACTGTTGCATTCGGAGATGGTGGTTCCGTTGAGAGCGAATGGAGCGTCAGGAACAAGGCTGTTTCTCATAAACATTGTCTTTGCAAGATTCAGCTGTAGTCCGACCTTTCCACATTCACGGTCAAAGTCGTTCAGCATTTGTGCCGCTTGGTTGATGTTTGGTGTTATTAGAACGATGTCATCAGCAAAGCGGAGGTGGTGTAGTTGCCGACCATCTATCTTCACTCCCATGTTTTCCCATTCCAGCCGTCGCATGATGTTCTCGAGGGTGGCACTGAAGAGTTTTGGTGAAATGGTATCACCCTGCCGAACCCCTCTCTTGATATGGATGATTACTTCTTTGTAGAAAGGTGAGATCTTGGTAGTGAATCCGCAATAGAGCTCACGAAGGATCCTGATGTATTGAGTTTGTACGCCCTGATTGGCTAGGGCTTCTATGACCGCTTCCGTCTCAACAGAATCAAAGGCCTTCTTTAATTCAATGAACGTTAGACAGAGTGGCATCTTGAACTCCTGAGATACCTCAATGAGCTTGCTTACTGTGTGAATATGGTCGATGGTACTGAATCCTTTTCGGAATCCAGCTTGTTCACATGGTTGTCCTTCATCTAGTGTTCTGCTAATCCTATTCAGGATGACTCGAGTGAATAGTTTGTAAATGACAGACAATAGGCAGATTGGGCGATAGTTGCCAATGTCGTGGATGTCTCCTTTCTTGTATAGTAGTACAGTCTTGCTGGTTTTCCATTGGGATGGAACCTTGCATTCAGACAGGTAGCATGTGAAGAGTCGAGCCAATGTATTGATGAGTACTGATGGTAAGTTCTTCAGGTGTTCAGGTCTGATCTTGTCTGGGCCAGATGCTCTTTGTTTCTTTACCGACGAGATGGCATGTTGGATTTCGGAAGGGAGAACATTGGGAATGACATATCCATCATGTGGTATGTGGTATGTGGGCAAGTGGATGTGGCTATTAAAGAGATCTGAGTAGAAGTCATGAATAATTTTCTCCATTGCCCTTCTGGAAGATGTGATAGATTCATCATGATGTCGGAGGGCAGTCATCTTGGTTTTGTAGTTGGTGAAGGACAGGCGGGCATTACGAATGTTTTTCCCAGCTTCTGCTGCATCTACCAGTACTGCTGCTCTCCTGTTTTTGAGGTCATCCTTGATGGCTTCTCTGCACTGTTTTGCCAGTTCGGACGTTTGTTTGTGGTTGCCTGAGGCACGTGCCATGCCACGTTGGCGAATAAGTTCAAGAGTGTTCGAAGAAAGACGGTTTTTTGTGGTTATCTCTCTCTTGGCATTCCTTGCACAATCATGGAGGTGCTGAATCATTCGATCGTATTCCTCATCAATGTTGTCAATGACGGCATCTTCCCATGTTGCCGCAACAGAGCCAAAGAGTTCCCAGTTAGTGTTTGTTCTGGGAGTCCTCTTCTTAAACCTTGCATTCTTTTCTCCTCGTTCTGTGAGGTAGAATTTTGCACGAAGAAGACGGTGGTCTGATCCCGTTTGGAATTTTGGGACAACAGCAACATCGGTTAGGCAAAACCGCCGATTGAATATGATGTGGTCTATTTCATTGTGGAACCGTCCATCGGGAGACTCCCATGTCCAACGTTTAGATTCAGCCTTTTGGAATTGTGAGTTACCATGGAAGGTTTTGGTTGACATGTTGAACTCAGACAATCTGTCACCCTGTTCATTCCATTCCAGGCCATGGGTTCCGATGTGGAGTTTATCGACTGATCTTCTTGGTCCTATCTTGGCATTAAAATCACCGACAATGATCTTGTAGAAGGTGTGATCTTTATAGAATTTCTCCAGCTCCATGTAGAATTTCTCAGTTTCTCTTTCACCATAACTGGATGTTGGTGCATAGACAACAAAGATAGAAACTGCCGGTAGTGAGCCACATTTATTCAAGTGTAATCGTCCGATTCGGGTTGTTAGGCATTCAAATGAATCAATGCTCGTGACTAAGTTTGTGTTGACAAGGATACCGACACCACCGACGCCTCTTTTATCACATGTTCCAAGGAACAGTTCTTCTCCAGTGTCGAAAACAGCATGATGGAATTGATGTCTTCTCGTTTCGGTCAGACCAATGATGTCGTACTTGATCTTTCGTGCTTGTACCATAAGGTCTTCAATGGATGCAGCAGATGCCAGGGTCCGAGCATTAAAAGTACAGACAATCATTTTTGTTTTTCTGCGTTTTGGTAGCCTATGTCTGCCTTGGTGTTTTATCAGCCTCTCCTTCCATATCCTTCTCGACTCTGCATATTCACTGTTAGGGAAATGAGATCCATTTATTACTGGATTTGGCATATCAATTTGGTCTATTTGGCATAGACCACGGATAGCTTGCCAGGCTCTGCCATGCGGGTTGGATATTTAAGGATATTTAAGGTACCCTGAAAATTTAGAGAAAACTAAATAAATAGTCACGCGGCCTGAGGCGCGGGAGCTTGTTGTGATAATCTCTGGATCCTGGCCTTTGTTGGGGTTACACGGCAGTTGGAGGGTGTAACTGTCTAGCTACTGACAGGTCCAGTCCCAAACCGTGCAGGCTTGGAGATCTCAGCCCCGGGTCCCACACACCTGGGCTCCTCTGCCAGTTCTGTTATGTCTGAGGCTTATCCAAGTGTGTGGAGAGTGGCCCCAGTAAGGCCTTGGTTGGGGCCTGCAGGTCTTCAGCTATGGGGCCCTGGCGAGGATAGTCAGACACAGGGTAGGAGACTCTGCCTTGTGCTCTCCCGGGAGCTTGTTGTGATAATCTCTGGATCCTGGCCTTTGTTGGGGTTACACGGCAGTTGGAGGGTGTAACTGTCTAGCTACTGACAGGTCCAGTCCCAAACCGTGCAGGCTTGGAGATCTCAGCCCCGGGTCCCACTGGAACTATGCAAGAGGAAAATGTGGCCCTGTATGAAAAAGCACCTAGTCATAGGCTAATCAGCACAGTCCACATTCATGAGACATTTGAGTGAGTCCAACTGAGATCATGTCAGCTGGGCTCTGGTCAATGGGACTTCTCTACTAATCCTTTAAAACCTATTGAGTCACTAAAATATAAATCAGTTCTTGTTTACTCAGTCATAGATTGTTTTGTAACCTAGCAAGCACTAACTGATAATATACACAAAAATGATAGTTATTTCCTGGGTGATTATGATTTCTATATGTATAATAAGGTTCATGACAAACTACTAAAATTTGGCACAATTTATTTTGATTTGCAGGACTTTATCTTTTTTCAACTTTATTAAGCACTATCCATAAAGCAAAATGAAATGAAACAAAGCAAAACAAAATGAAGAAGCACTGGAGAAATCCATACTCTGTCCAAGTATTTAAAACATAAATGCTGCCTATAGACCGAGGGCACTCAATTGCCACTCAATGCCTCTTTTGAAAACCACAGCACCTCAAAGGAGAGAGAGAACAAAAGGGAATGCCCTGCCACAGAGGCAGGGTGGGACGTGGGGGGGGGGGATGAGGGGTGGGGGGGGTACTGGGATCCGTGGTCGTGGATAATGGGCACTGGTGGAGGGATGGGTACTTGATCATCGTATAATTGAAACCCAAGCACAAAAATTTCTAAGTCTACAACTGTACCTCAGGGTGTTTCACTAATAAAAATTAAAAAAAAATGCTGCTCGCTTTGGCAGCACATATTACTAAAATTGGAATGATACAGAGAAGATTAGCATGGCCCTTGCGCAAGGATGATAAAACATAAATGTATGTGGTTTAACGTCATGGATAATAAATCCAGCCACCTAATTCCTTTCAAGGAGACATTTGTTCTGAGATTGTCTCTGCTATAGTTATCAACTTGAATAATGATGCCAAGAAGCAGAATCAACCTCCACTCCACTGTGTCCTTCCCTGCCCCAAATCGAACCACATTTAATATGCCTTAAAACATACCTGCGTGGCAGCTTCAGTAAAGATATTAACCAAAACTTTTAACAAGACCTTGACAACACATTAGAGAAATGCTGTTTAATATACATATTGCACTGCCCTATAGCACTGTCCTCCCGTTGTTCATCGATTTGCTCGAGCGGGCACCAGTAATATCTCACAACAAATTGTGAGACTTGTTGTTACTGTTTTTGGTATATTGAATACGACATGGGTAGCTTGCCTGGTTCTGCCATGTGGGCGAGATACTCTTGGTAGCTTGCTGGGATCTCCGATAGGGTATTGAGGAATCAAACCCCGGTCTGCCGCTTGCAAGGCAAACCCCCTACCCACTGTGCTATCACTCCAGCCCCAATATACATATATTTAGAAAAAAAATCAGAACATAAATGTGTGTTTCTTCCCCCACCCCCTTTTCTTGGTAGTATATTATTCATGGTTATGGTCCTCCCGTTGTTCATCCATTTGCTCAAGCGGGCCCAGTGACATCTCCATTGTGAGACTTGTTGTTACTGTGTTTGGCATATGGAATACGTCACGGGTAGCTTGCCAGCCACGGGTAGCTTGCCAGGCTCTGCCGTGCGGGCGAGATACTCTCAGTAGCTTGCCAGGCTCTCCAAGAGGGAGGGGTGGAGGAATCGAACTCGGGTTGTCCATATTGACTGCGTGCAAGGCAAGTGCCCTACCACTCTGCTATCGCTCCAGCCCAGTATCTTATTATTTAATTAAAAATGTATTAATTGATAAATGTATTAATTGATAATATGTGGTTTATAAAATGGTTAATAATATTTTCGCATGCACATAATTCCAACATCACATCTATCACCAGTGTACACTGGTGTGTCTTCTTTTATTACTATGAACATTTTACAAGTTGTAATGAGAGTTGGTTAGCATTTCACAACTGCAGAAAATATTTTCGCTCTCTTCAACACAGAATAGAGTTGATATATTAAACCTGTTTTGTTAAAATTCAGCATCTAAACTTGTTTCTCACTGAAAAACACGTGAGTAGAGATATTTACATTTGAAGGCATTTTTTTTTTCTTTTGGTCAAAGTGCCTTCTCTATCCTTGTTACCTGCACTGTGGTAATATTTTAAAGAACGTGCACTTTCACTGCAATCTTCTTATTAAATTAGCTTTATTTTCATGAAGCTGAGAAGTTTAAAAGCACTCAAGATGTTAAATATCATTTAAATATCATATGAAGTGCTTCTTAAGTGATAACATTTGTAGGTAGTGGAAAGAAATGAAACAGATAGGTAGTGTGATGGGAAGATGGAGGGAGCAACTTAAAAGCAGGCTTAGATTTTTTGAGGGTTGTTTTTTCAGGATGACACATATATGCTCTCTATTGACATCAGGAACTTTTCCAGAGTAGAGCATGAACTAATGGCTTAAGTAGCAACAGAAAGTACTGGGATACATAAGTTGTTCATTTAATGTGAAGTAGCAAATACTTATTAAGCATCAACTATGTAAGACCCTTTTCTGAGGACTCAAAGTAGAGGATAAAAAAATGTGCAAACTAGACAAAGAGGCTTTTGTACACATTTGGTAAATATCCCTGCTCACCTAGAGAAAGATCTGTAAGTTCTACTTTGTGACTACTTCTGGCCTTCTTCTCCTTTATGGAGTTACAAAATGAAGATTCTGCAAATGATGTTACAAGTATTATTGCCTAAATGAGACTGCTCAGCTGAGGCTACAGGTTGTCACAAGCCACAGCCTCAGTTCTTCATGGAGAGCTGAAGATTTTTCATTAACTTTCTCATTCACTGGAAGATTTTCTTGGTTATTACCTTATTCAAATAGGGATTCTTGTTCCTAGGCTACAGAAATTCATTTCTTGATTATGTTTTTCTTAGTTTCTATTGAAAACTGACCTTGCTGAACTGACTCCTAGGTTATTTGTCGAATCACGTTTCAAAATTCCATGCATCTTCTTTCTGCTAATATAGACATAATTGTCCTTCTATACTTATTTGCATATCCTGGGTGTTGCTTTTTATTAATTAAAATGTGAACAGCTCTAGTTTTATATATAAGTATGCTTGGCGGGCCTGTAATTTTGGTGGCTTTTTTTCCTGTATAATTTATTCCCTTAAAAGAAACACTTAAAAGTAGAAAATTTTATTCCTTTATGGGGAAAATATTCAATTCCATAGTTTTATTTTTTAATGGCCCTTCATAGTTGTATATTCAGATCCATACACTAGATCATGAGAGGGTAGGGAAATGGTGAGTATAGATTTCTTTACTAACAGATAGGATGATTAAACTGAAGGGATTCAATCTGTAGACCCATGTTTGATTCACATTTTGACTTTACCATACATAGAAATTGCTGATCAGCTTTTCCTCTGTCAGAGACAGGAAGTTGCTGATGATTGTCAGTCATTTGGGAATGCCACCGTTCACATCTGCAGTGAATAGTCTCTTCTAGTCTTTCTTTTTCTACTTCAAGTCACCTTTATTTACTTTTTGAATCTTCTTCAAGTTTCTGGGTTTGTATTCCTCCTCCTCCTCCTCATCTCCCTCCTCCTCCTCTTCCTCCTCCTCCTCCTTCGTCACTTTCTTGATTGCACTTGCCATACTTAGTACTCAGATTCTGTGCTATGACCTCTGCATATGGGTTTCTGTACATAGGGTTCTTTCATTTAACCTTTTTTTTTTTTAACTAATGGGGCTGGAGCGATAGCACAGCGGTAGGGCTTTTGCCTTACAAGCGGCCAACATGGCTGACCCGAGTTGGATTCCTCCACCCCTCTCGGAGAGCCCGGCAAGCTACCGAGAGTATCTCGCCCCCACGGCAGAGCCTGGCAAGCTACCCATGACGTATTTGATATGCCAAACACAGTATCAACAAGTCTCATGATGGAGACGTTACTGGCCCACTCGAGCAAATCGATGAACAACGGGAGGACCGTGTGTGTTTTTTTTAACTAATTGTTGACAAAATAAGAACTACATTTCTAAAAGATGGTGCCCTGTGATGTTCTGAAATCCTCTTTGTTTTGCTTTTGTGCAAAAATATATCCTCACTACCAGACATGTCTAGAGATATTTTGTATGGCCACTAAACAATGTACTGAACAGTTCCAAGGGCTCGCATTCATAGAGATCATAGTGTAAACAATCACACTAAGAACTACTTTGAATCTGGCATTTCACAATTTCTTTTTTCTCTTTCTTTGAACCTGATTTTCTAGAGTAGTTTTGGGGCTGTATGGTGTCACATCATTGACTAGCTTTCAAAGCTATAGTACTTTCTGGAGGAAATTCATTAGCAATCTTCTTTGGTCATTTCTGAATGTATCAGTATCAGTATCAACAAGGCATTTTCTCTGTTGTTTCTTGGTTCTCACTGACTCATGGAATCCTTTCAAATTGCTTTTTTGTTCTCATAATAGAGTATACGAGATTTCTGCAGTGTTGAGTTGGAATATATACTTTTGATAATGCCTCTCTCTAAGGAATACATTGTCAGGGGCAAATCTGGAATTTAAAAGAAATCTGTTTTTTCTTTTAACACATAAAAGGTTTCATCTCCTTGATGATATGTACATTATGGAGTAAATTTAAGCATCCCAATATAAGAGGATACAGTTCCGAGGCAGGGAACAGCATTAAGAAACACCTGGAAATGCTTAAGATTTGCTCTGGCCCTGCTTGTGCTTAGGAAACTGTATGTTGAGCCATGGTTTAAACCAGCATGGTTTAAACTTGTGCAAGGCAAGTGCCTGAACCCTGTGTACTATCTCTCTCATTTCAAGAAGATAACACTTTTAGTATAAATTTCACCATATATTGAATCTCCACTCTTCTTTGTACAACAAATATATCATTTCTGTATCTTCAGTGTCTCTATTAAGTCAGCATCTTAGGTTCTATTTTATAGATGACAAAACTCCTTCTCTTGGAGCCACTGTAAATTGTTCAAAGTGAAAGTATCAGAATCTGTGTTGGTGTTTGAGTCTAGCATAAATAATTTCAAAGCGCATTATTTCTGTTATATCATTTTGTTTTATAAATTCCATATACTTTTGAGCATACATAAGTATATATGTGTATATATAGCATTATAAATCAATAGTTATTCCCTTAACAGATGTTCACCATGCTTTTAGGAAGTATATTCTACCAGAAACCTATATAGTAAGAAGATAAAAAATTTGATAAGATCCTGCCAGTTTTATGGAATATACCCTTAATTTTTTTGATAATTTATTACTTTCTTTTTTTTCTTTATTTGTTCCCCAGTGCTACTATTTTATAGTCCTGAATAATGCATTTATAATTACCTTATGTTATGACTTGGACCAGTGACTGCCTTCATTTGCGTAACTTACATTTCATCCTTAGTACAGAAATAGTGATACAAATCACTCAGAATTTTCCAGATACCCTCAGAAAAACCTGACCTCCTTCATAGTTAAGGATGCCTTCATGGGACAAAATTATGTTTGAGAAAAGTGGAGAAAATGAAGCTCTAAAAAAGAGTTTGACCCCCATAGAAGGGAAATATTATGAAGTACAGCACTTATGCTAATTATTTTTGATGATATAGGTAGATTTAAGATAGAATACAGAAGAAATATGTGGGGTTCATATAGCCCTTTTCTAGCTATAGGAATGTATATTTTAGGATTACTGGTTTCTGAGACTAGCATTGACTTGCTGAAATGGATGCTATTTCTGCAAGGTATACACTTGGAAAGATATATATTTCTCTAAATATTAAAATATACATAGTTCATATTTATTGTGGGAAAAGCTTGTCTACTAAAGGCTCTCCTACCTAATAAATGCACGTTTTCATTCTTGA